GTCTTTGACAGCGGAGACAAGAGTGACAGGCGGTGGTGCATTCTAATTGGTTCATACGCCTGTCAATCAAAGCAAGGCGCAGTCACAGAGAATCTGATTGGCTGTTCCCGCCGTCTGACAACTGGCCGTCTGTAAACCACAGGGCTTATTGAGCCTGCGCTAACAGAAAAAGAGGAGGTTCCCGAATAGAGTCCTTTATTTATTTCTTTGTGCTCACTGGGGGGAAAAATAATAAAGCGACATATACCGCAGGCACTTCATTCGTTATCTTTGTCCGCACACGCAAGAAAACTGGATAAGATTACGGTTGTTACTCGACGGCCAAAGCCAAGGGGAGGAGGATGAAGCGGCGCAATGCGGACTGCAGCAAACTCCGACGGCCGTTAAAACGGAACCGAATCACCGAGGGTATATACGGCAGGTAACTGGCGTAGAGACAGGTTGTTACGGGGACCCTGGTTTTCACACACGGCAACAAACGTTTGGCCTCCTGACGTTACCAACCGCCACGGCTAGACTGCCCGATAGCCTAGCTTGATGCTAGCTAAGCTAGCCGTAGCGATGTTTTCGTAGAACACCAGCCGTTGACGTTAGCTGTTAAGCTAACTGTACCGCTAGGCCCCCCCCCCCAAACCCCTCACACCCCCCCAAACTGTCAGTTATTAACCGTGTCACAAGGGGTGTTTCACCGCAACGTTGCTGTCACAGGTAGTCTGTCATATTTTTAGGAAATGAGCCCAACTGTTTTGACTTTCCGTTGGCCCACGTCAGTTGTCACCGGCTGGTCCTGTCAAAAAAACTAGCCGCTTCCCCTTTTTGGTGAATGTAACTTTGGCCAATACCATCACACGAACCTCACTAAAAGGAAAAAAAGTGCTGCAAGCTTTTGTTAACACCAAACATCCACTGATAAGATTGCAATCTGTCTGACTTCAGAGGTGCTCCTCTTGCCCTCACGGGTTGTCCAGACTGAACAGTGGCCGGGTTTGTTTTCCTGCGTGACTTCCCATTTACCAGATTAACACGTGGCATCAAGATGTAAAGATATGGGTCAGTTTCTGAATTATTGAGCAGGTGACCCACATCATAGGAGATCAGATCAGAAAACACCCCCACAGAGTCCCAGTCTGGGTCTCACATTTCTTATGTGTTTCATTCAACTGTGGCCAAATAGATCTTTCCTCTTCTTTTTACATTTATTGGAGAATTTAGGGATAAAGATCACCAATCACAACAGGTCTTCTTATATCTATGTGCTTATAAAATAACTCCAGAGTTAAGGGAGGTGAACATCTTGGGAGGGACTTCATAGAAAGATCCTTTGAGGTGTTTCCCTGGATCAACACACCTGATTCCCATCAGTGTTTTGAAGAGATTTATTGAATTAGAAACAAGAGTTGAGAATCAGGAAAGCAGGAAATCAGCCAGTGAGGAGTTTGTGATCAAGATGTTCTCTATGAGCACTACACATGCACACACTGAGGCTGTGGGCTTCAGTGACACACATCACAGTCAGAATAAACCAGATATCCCTTTTGGATGATAAAATATTGTATTTTTTGTTCATTTAAAGTGCAAAAAATGTATTTTTCTAATGCCAAATGTAATAATTAGTGTATTATGTTCAGTGGTTGATGATCAATTGTCTTTCTTTCAGTACCTTCCTGTACCTGAAGTTCCTGGTGGTGTGGGCACTGGTGTTACTGGCAGACTTTGTACTTGAGTTCAGATTTGAGTACCTCTGGCCGTTTTGGCTCTTCATCCGGAGCGTGTACGACTCCTTTAGATACCAGGGGCTGGTGAGTAGCCGCTAACGCTCAGTCACGATGTCACAACAGAGCTATGGTGTGTGTATAGACTGTAATGTTTGGGTTAGATGTGTCTGACACTGGTTGAATGGGGGTTTAAACTCCTACCGAGAGCTGGGCTCAAAACAAAGACAAAGAAAATGTGTTGTATGTGTTTTAAAAATGTTATTTAGAGTTAATAAAGTTGAAAACAACATGAAATCACAACAGAATAAAAGCTAACAGAAAGAGCTGTTGGCTGAATAGAGAATTGTGAACTGAACAGATATAAGTTTCTCATAAAATATAGATGCATGTGCACATTAGGACTGAAGTGAAGCCTTATCTCTGACTACTTTCTCAATGTTGAGATAAAACTGTTGAGTTCTGTAGTACCGTTTATCAGTAACTATTATCAGTCAGCCTCAATTCAAAGCGTGGTGTACGGTACACATAGTTAATTATTATATTTAACAAAGACCAAGTGAGTGTGTGCTCAGATAGACCAAATGCTGGTCACGAGATGCTAATAATTTGGTTATTTCAGGATCACCCGTTTCCTTTAATTGAGTACATAAGTGTAATATTAGCTCATTGTATTCAGAGTTTAGTTTAGCCTTTTGGTTCATTATTGGTGCTGGACAGCTCACTCTTAGTAAAATGTGCTGTGTACGGGTATTTTTTTTGGGGGGGAGAGCCTCTGAGAAGAGAGAAAGAGGGCTGAATGTGCATTTTTCTACGATTATTAGCTGTTTTTATTCAGTGTAAAAGTGGTTTACTCAACAAGTTCTACAGGAGTTAAGATCTAAGAGACTATTTCTAATCTCAGATCAGTTATTTCTCACTGAGAGGGGCTGCTTTGCTTTCAGTAACGTAGGTTTTTGCTCAGTAACTTACGTCTTTGCTCTCTCCTCTCTCTCCACCAGGCCTTCTCAGTATTCTTCGTGTGTGTGGCGTTTACCTCCGACATCATTTGCCTCCTCTTCATCCCGGTGCAATGGCTGTTCTTTGCTGCCAGTACCTACGTGTGGGTGCAGTATGTTTGGCACACAGGTAAGTCCGCCCTGTGTCCCGCACGCTCCCGGTTGTCAGCAAAACCAAAAAAGGAACATTTGTTGTCATGTATTTGAGTGTAAATGAGCTAGGGTTGTCACGATAAAAAAATGTTCAACTCAATACCGATACTCAGGAAAATATTCGATACTCGATACCATTTTCGATACCACAAGGATAAAAACAAAGACCCCCAAAATTTATGAATTTTGACAGGTTAGTGTCTTTGGTTTCAAACTGACCTGTTACCGATGTTATGGTGGCCCACATTAATGACCCTAACCCTAAACCTAACCCTAACCCTGACCCTACAGTCTTCATAATTGTGAGAAATAATTATTTTTCTGTTAAACTTGTTTGGACTTATTGTCCAAACCTATTTAACATCCACTATTTTAACATAATATTAAGTATAGAGTGGAATTCAGTGTTTGCAAGATTAATGTCACTATGTTTAAATTAATGTCTATATTGCCATGAAGCAATTAGGATTTTCTTGCCTGGGATCTTCCTATTGGTGACCTAATCAAAATGGCCGACTTGGATGTGGGGGAGTTGGATATCCATCCTTGGCTTCCTGCAGACTTGATTAATGTTGGCGTGTTATTATTAGCCATTAGCCGCAGTTATCAATTCAAGGCTAACGTCACGTTAATGATCATAAACAACGTAAATAAATAAATAAATAAATCAGAGAAGGGGGGGGGGGTTATTGATACTTTTGAAAATTAGTATTGTATCCGGATACAAAGTTTTATTATCGATACTTTTTTGAGTATCAATACTTTTGAGGGAATTAGACCTAATATGACAGTCATTTGATGATTTGAAATGGCATAAAGAGGATAAATCTAATAGTTTATGGGAATAGGAGGGGTACTAAGATAACACAGCCTTGTTTTTATTCCTGTTTGAGGCTTTTTCTCTCACAGAAAAGCAGGCGTGGACAGCTCTCCGCCGCCTCGTTATCACGTTAGCAAAGAGTTGGCTGGTTTCTCTGGATTCTGCTCGGTGGAAGCGAGCTGCAGATTAGCTGTCAGATTGATTTAGTGACGACTGCCTGCGGTGACCAAAGGCCAGGTGTCAGATGGAAATCCTAGTGCCTGCTGGGGGAGGGCCGCGCCGTTCCCAGTTGCTTTTCCAGCTCTCAAACCGGTGACATTCAGAGCCACAGGAGTATTAATATCTGCTCCACAGCCTGGTGATGAATGCTGTGTGTGGGCAGACCTGTAAACTGTACTAAGGCGGGCCGTCATAGAACCAGAACCTGGAACCAGACCGAGTCAATACTAGGGGTGGGACGGTTCACAAAATCCACGGTTCGGTTCGATTCACGGTTTCGTGCTCACGGTTTTCGGTTCGGTTCGGTATATATATATATGTATATATATATATATTTGATTGTTAGGAAAATCTATTATGTCTTGTATAGTCAGGTTAAAACTGAAAGAAAAAAGCAGTCTGACATTTGATACGTTATTGTGACAGTCTCAGGTTAAAAGTAGGTGAGATTCTGGCATTGCCAGAGAGGAAACAGTGCTAATTCCAACATGTGCTTCCCTCTAAATGCAAAGTGGTCCATATAGCAGACCTATAAACTGCTGTTGGCGCGTCTGATTTTTATCGGCTACGCTGCTTCTTCTTCTTCTTGTTTCCTACTGGTGGTTGGCTTTGGGCGCAGTAGCGCCCCCTTCTGCTCTGGAGTGTTTTCAGAAACCGTCCCATCCCTAGTCAATACCAGTGTCTGTTTAGATGTTTGTTTCCCGTCTCATATTTTTGACAGAAGTTAAAAATTTGCAAGATGTTCTGATCTGTTTGCCTGGATGTTACTGAAAAAAACAAAACAGAAATAAAATTTTAATATTAATAATTTATTACTATGCGATAAGTCAGGATTATTTTTTGTGTAGTCTTCTGCCCCCTGTTATCAGGTGTATCTGATTGTGTACAATAGGATTTTGAGCAAAGTTTTTACCATTAAATTATGCAAAAGGTGTCAGCTTTCTAGGAACGTCTCGATCCAGCTTTTTTCACTTCCGATATGATCCCGGCCTATCAGAGCATGTGTTAAAGTCTAAAGTTATTTATCTACTTACTTAGTTGTCAGACTCATGTTGAACAGGGATTTACTCTGATAACAACTTAATGGTTAGGACACAGACCTGTGGGTCAGGAGATGCTAATGCTAATGCTCGTGTGGGATCGGACTTTAAAATAAAAACTGGATCAGCTCTCCCACTTTACCTGATGAGACTCATGTCACCATATTTAATGTCACTCTGGATTGTTTCCCTCTGTATTCAAAAACTAATTTAACAGAGATCTTCTAAAACAGACCTCTGTTTCTCCAGTCATTCTGTATATCATGGAGACGATACCCCTCTGACATTTCCTTCTCTTTTTCCTCCCAGAGAGAGGCGTCTGTCTCCCCACCGTGTCTCTGTGGATCCTCTTTGTGTACATAGAGGCAGCCATCAGATTCAAAGACCTGAAGAACTTCCATGTGGACTTGTGTCGTCCTTTTGCTGCACACTGGTGAGCCTCTGTTAGCTTTGGCCTGTAGAATAGCCGTTTATGCTAACGTTTTTGTCATTGATTCACAATCTGCTGCTTTGTGCTAAACGGAGTGAGCAAACTGCTTTTATATTTATAATGTTGTTAGAAAATGCTTATAAAAGTTTAAAGAGGGAACTTTGCATTGATTGATTGATTGATGAATACTTTAATGATCTCACAATGGAGAAATGAACTAGCATTGCTTTCATCTTTAGCTTTGAACCTTAAAAAAACATTTAAAAAAGTGGATTATTTCTTTTTGTCATCACTTAACCCTTTAAAGCCTGATCCAAGAATTAAACAAAACAGAAAATTACTTTTTTTTGGTTTGAAGTCTTTATTTGGCCTTTTAACAAAATCTGTAAAAAGAAAAAACAGAAATACATTTTTTATATTAATAATTTATTACTATGCGATAAGTCAAGATTATTTTTTGTGTAGTCTTCTGCCCCCTGTTATCAGGTGTATCTGATTGTGTACAATAGGATTTTGAGCAAAGTTTTTACCATTAAATTATGCAAAATGAGTCAGACACAAAACATTTCAGAAACCGTATGAATCAGATATGATACATTTGGCATTACAGGGTTTCCTTGAATGGTCTATAAAAGTTGTGACCGTGTTTATTGTTGCCCCCTTTAGCATCGGATACCCCGTGGTCACGCTGGGTTTTGGCTTCAAGAGCTACGTTAGTTATAAAATGCGTCTGCGGAAGCAGAAAGAAGTCCAGAAGGAAAACGAGTTTTATATGCAGCTGCTACAGCAAGCTCTGCCTCCAGAGCAACAGATGCTACAGAGACAAGAGCGGGAAGCAGAAGACGGTCAGTATTTGCCTTTTTTAAATGTTTAGTTTCATTATAGTAATGGTATAGCATCATATTTATTATATTATTCGATCAATAATGACTCTAATAGCTGGTGGTTCCATTGTTTTGTTGAATTTGTCAGAGGGAGCATGTTCAGTTTGAGGTTTTCAGGGAGCTAAATACAAATTAAAGAGGTTAATCAATTCTCTTTTTCATATTTACTCAAAGCTGTCTGTCATTGTGCTGGTGTATATCAGGAGTAAAAGCAAAGTGTGTGGTTACAGGTGCACCTGCCTCAGTTAAAGCAAACACACAGAGATTACAGAGGGAGGGGTTCCACCTGCACATGACTCGAGTTCTGCTTTTCTTTTTGGTGAAACTATTCTTTACAGTTTGACCGATGACAGACATATCAATACTGTAGATCCCAAACAGAACCAGGAACTCATATCTGGGTATTTAAATCAACATATACAGCAGAACCTATACAGAGTTTAACTGGTTCCAGGTCCGACTTCTGTGTTAAATATTGGTATGTTGGTTCAAATCTTCCATCAGAAAACTCTGTAATTCCTAGAATTGGTTCCAAAAACCTACAATAACTCCTTAATAAATACTGCAGATAATTACACATAGCAGTAAAACAAATGACTTATAGAAGAGAGATGGAAAAATAAATAAATGAAAAAGAAATATTCAATAAAAATGTTTTTTTTTGGCCCTTTAGCTCAGAGACTGAAGAACGGAGGTAGAGGTGGAGACTGAGATACAGGACCAGCCCTAACTCACTCTGACTTTATCCAGGAACTTTACACCAACTTAGACTAGTCATATTTAATTTACTACCTGAACTTTAAACTAATTTGACTTTGATTTATTTTTATTTAATTTTTATATTTTATATATATTTTTCTATGACTGTTGTAAATTACTTTGGGTGTTGAGTCAAACATTTGATCAAATTTCACTTCAAATGTTGGAAAATTCATCTGTTTTGGCTTCATAAGCAGAGTTTCTGCTGTATTTGAAAGCTTCTGTTGTTAAATATGTGATGAAACATGAATAATAAACCTGTTATGAGTGTCATCTGTTTTACATTTATCTCTTTTCTCCTCCTTTGTGCTCCAGCTGTTATGTTTTACATTTATCTCTTTTCTCCTCCTTTGTTTAACAGCTAAAGGAATATCTGAGGTGGACTCGCCACCGGTGTCACAAAACGGCGCTCCAGGGAATAAAAAGGCGTCGGGGGCCCTGCCGGAGTTGGAGTACAGAGAAAAAGGGAAAGAGGGGAAAGGAGGCGGGGGGGAAACGAAGAAACAACACAACAGCATCCTGCCCTCGTCAGTGGACTCTAAACTCCAGGAGATGGAGTACATGGAGAACCATATGAACAACAAGAGACTGACCTCGGACCTGGTCAGCGCAGAAAACCTGTTGCTCAAAGAGGACAACAACTCCTCCTGCTCTTCCTCCTCCTCCTCTTCCTCCAAAAATTACAAAAACGCCAGCAGCAACGCGGCGGCGCTCAACTCCTCGCCGCGCGGCCACAGCGCCACCAACGGCAGCCTGCCCTCCTCTTCATCATCCTCCTCTTCCTCGGCCGGGAAGAACGAGAAGAAGTACAAGGTCCCCGCGGGGAAAGGGACGATGGGGGGCTCCCACCGGGACCCCACCGAGAACTGCATCCCCAACAACCAGCTCAGCAAGCCCGACGCCCTCGTCAGGTCAGAGAACGGATTTATTATTCTATTTTCTAAGGTTTTATCTTAAAAATAAGTTAAAAAAAAATAAGTAAAAAATAGAAGTAATAGAAGTAAGTCACTGTGCCTCGTTCCATTTGCTCTCAAACCTTCAGAATCAGAAATACTACAATAATAATCGAGAGGGAAATTATTTTTATATAAATATTTTTATATATTCAGATCTAAATAAAGTGATAATGATAGTGTGCAGAAGAATAAATAAATGCGAATAATTTGGTAAGAATAACATATATATATATATATATATTCAATATTCCACACAAAAAATATCAATAAATGAATATATACATATGTAACTATATGTATATATACAGATCTAAAATAAATGATAATTATAGTGTGCAGTAGAATAAATACATGCCAATAATTTAGTAAGGGGGGCTCCCACCGGGACCCCACCGAGAACTGCATCCCCAACAACCAGCTCAGCAAGCCAGACGCCCTCGTCAGGTCAGAGAACGGATTTATCATTTTATTTTCTAAGGTTTTATCTTAAAAATAGAATATAAGTCAAAAATAGAAGTAATAGAAGTAAGCCACTGTCTGTTAGAAATGTTGTGCCTCGTTCCATTTGCTCTCAAACCTTCAGAAAACAGAAATACTACTATAATAATCGAGAGGGAAATTATTTTTATGTATATATTTTTATATATACAGATCTAAATAAAGTGATGATGATAGTGTGCAGAAGAATAAATAAATGCCAATAATTTAGTAAGACTTACGTATATGTAAATATATATATATATATTCAATATTCCACACAAAAATATAAATAAATGAATATATACTATATGT